CTGTAACTAATTATTTAAATTAATTATAATTGACTATATTAATTAATTATAATTGCATAATTATAATTAATTAATTTAAATAATAAAAAAAAAAGAAAGGAAGAGCTCTCTCCCTCAATCTTCAAGTCCTCCAACACCGACGACCCCGCATAGGTATAACCTTATCTAAACTCTAAATACTCCGAGATCCCGCTTTCGATGCTTGCACAACGACCAAACGACCACCATACACGCTTTTTTTCTAGCGTGGTGGGAAGAAGTTCGTCGCGGTGTTTTTCAACGAATTGGGAGATCACATAAAATCATGTTCTCGGTGTGCGTGCCAAATCGGTTAAACCGCTTATGCACGCTTTTCTCTAGCATGGGTGGGATGGGGACCCGGTGCGGTGCGTACGGCAAGACCAGGATATTCATAAGTACTGTGTTCGCGGGAAAATAATTGATTTTCATCCATAGTACCGCTCGCGGGGAAACAACAGTTTCTCTTTGCAACAGGTACCGAAAACCCATACACGCCTTTCTCTGGCGTGGTGGGGACAAAACTTTTACACGGCTGCCGCGGGTGTCTCGAAAGAGGCACCTACCGTACACGCTTTTCTCTAGGCGTGGCGGGAGGCCCAGTTTTCGTAGTTTTCCCCTAAAGGGGGGAGGAGGGGGGAGGAGTGGTTGCCGAAATTTCGGGTGAAATACTACTACGCTCGGACCTGTTTTGAACTCAAAGAGAACAAAGATGTGGACACATTTGAACAATCAAGGACTTGGAACTATACTCATAACTCAAATCAAAATGAACTAAATACACTTGAACTTAAATTTGAACTTAAAACTTGTGGACATCGAACTTGAACAAGACATTGAACACAAGAGCTTGATGAACTAACAAGGACTACGCTCAACTTAAAGGACTATGCTAAACTTGATGAACTACAAAGGACTACGCTCAAACTTGATTTTGAGCTTTAATTGAACTTGAACTCAATACTTGTTGTGCAAAGACTTGGATCAGCTTTGGACTATAAGGAACTCAAACTCTGACATTGAACTCTACTTGAACCAAATGGAACTTCAATCAAAACTCAATCAAAGAGAACTTGATTTGGGCTCAGACTTAAGTTGAACTTAACAAGATTGTTTGTGGAATAAATCTTGAACTACAACAAGGCTTGGGTTTGAGTCTCATTTGACTCAAAAGAGTCATGATTCGAATTATTTGAACTCAAATTTGGAGGCAAACTTGAACTAGAAAAACTCAAACTTGAGTTTGGGACTTGATTTTGATGAGTGCACCCAGAGAATTTCAAAATGAACCATATAAGATCTAACTTGTATAGAGTACAAGTGACAAGCTCCTAACAATTAGATGCATTTGTCTCCAACAAGTTGGGGAATTCAACATGCGATGAACTGAAAGACATGATGTGTTTTGAATAGTTCAAAGAGGACACTCCAACCATCAACATCAAAATTCAAACATACAAACTGATCTGCAACACAACTACGTATCTGATTGACGACTAGCCTTAATCGAAAGTTCTCTCTCATTATCGGGAGAGGTAATTAACTATAGGGGCTTGCGCCTATAGGAAACCAGAACTCAGATCATAAAGTCCTCACAAAATGAGGGCGAAATCTCTGGGTAGTGTCTTATCTACAAACCCATCTGCCTTCCAAAATTTACCCCGGAACTTAGTTCGTTAAAACTCCCTCGCCGAATAAGAAAAAGCGAGTGGAGGCCGAATTTTCGGAGCCCACAGCAAGCAAATGCACAAGACTCTCAATAAGCATCGTGTTTCACCTACAAATGATGTTAATTAATGTATAATACTAATGCTTGTAGAAGAGGTGTGATAGTTGCAATGAGCATAGTAATTTGTTCATGAGTAAAGTATGAAGATTGTGCGGTACATACAGAAAAGCTCATCGAACACAGACACTTCCATGTTGTTGTAGGTTACTCGCCATTTATATGACATGCTATCCACCAGCAAATACAAAAGGGTTGTGATAAATGCAAACATTTGTAGATGACACTAGAAGATCCGCATTCCGTGCAAATTACCTGCAAATTATAATGAAAGGTTTGCAATATATATAGCGGTCCTTCCTACAGAAAAACGACAGTGAATATACTGCAAGTATGATGAATCCTCTTTAGGCTTAAGTAAAAAGATTGCAGCAAGCGTGACACATTGCTTGCAGGAAAAAGCAACAAGCCTATGATGAATGCAAGCATCTGCGAGCAACTGCAAGAAGTTTTTCATTTGCACGTTGGTTCGCCTATAACAAGCAACAAGTAATATGCAACGCAATGCTACGATTCACTTGTAAGCAAAAGATGGGAATCAGTAGTAAAAATTACGAGTCACTGATAAAACAAGGCTGTAAATTTTTCATGCTAGGCTATCACATCAGATAAATCAGCTCACCTACAAGTGACGGGTGGAAGACTCTTGATGTGTGGTACAACGTATTCGCCGACAAAAATACATTACTGCAAGCTGAATGCTAAAGAAAATGACAACATGCAAAAGATGAATTAGCTAAATAGCATTGTCGATGCAAAACAAATGAAGCTCAATGTGCAGTAAATAATGTCACTGGATTCGCAACACTCGAGAAAGAGGACAGAAGGCGTCTATAGGCTTCTAAATAGAATATTGCGCACATTGAAATGACAATTATTCGCACAGTTGGTCAATGTCAAACACTTTAAAATGTCCTCCCACATGCATTACAATAGGCAGAATATTTTATTCAAGTATGATATCCATCATTGCAAGATGCATTATGTTGTAATAGTGCATCACATTAACATGCAAATGCACTGCACACACATGTATTACAATATGCATAACACACTGTGCAAGCATATTATCTAACATGTAAAATGTGATGTGCAGCAGCAGCATGCTACATTGACGTACAAATACATCATACAATATTATCGTACATTAAGCCACTATATTGCATATCATTATATCATGCAAGATGCAGATACATCATTCAAGCATGTCAAAACATCTAAATGCATAAATCAAGGCACAAATGTTTCACATAAATGCATAACATATAGATGTGTCGCATGCATTTATTGCATATGTATGGCAATCATATAAATGCATCAAGCAAAATATATGCATCAGCATATACCTGCAGAGGCCCCGACGAGCTTGATACACACGTGACGTCTTAGTATGCTACACGGGTAAAAAAAATGAACTTAAGATCGAGCCCGAACATTTTATGTGAACAGATAAGAGTCGACATGGCTAGAACCATCAAACAAACATATAGTCGTGGTGTTGACTGAGATATCTGTTTTATATGTTCATATTAAACCTTCAGGTATATTACAAGAAAGATTTATTTATAAAGGAATAAAGCCGACGACAAACCTGATCATCTGGTAGCAAGTAGACAGAGTCGACAAGTCCAACCAACAAAAATGAAATTACCCTTAAATATCCCGATGATTGCCGTATTGACAAAAAATATCAACTGGAGAGGACCACAAATATTGAAAATGCCTCTTAAACTCACAGAAAAAATCAAAACTCAAAAGTCATAAAAAACTTAAGACATTTAAAATTGAAATAAAAATATCAAAATATGTAAAGCAAAATCTATCCACACTCTGCAACAGTTTGTCGGACTGAAAAAATTTTAAATTCACTTCATCTCACAAAGAGCAAATGTCTAGTCAAAAATATTATTATGATTTATTCTTAATCTTTCTCTTACCAGTAAGGACGTGACACGTGTCCTCTAACCGGTGGTTTCACCACTAAACGACACCATATGTAAACAGTTATGATCGGGAACCTCTGACCTGGTGATTTTACTGCCAAATCACACCATTAAATTACGGTCATGATTAAAGCACGCATGTTCCTCAATTGCATCAAATTTTTTAGTAATGAATTAATAGGATATGATTGATAGGACACACAGTCTTCTGTTAACTAAGGTGGATTTAAATTTGTCCCTTTAGACAAACATTTACCTCAGGTCTATAAGGTACCTTTGGACGAAGCAACCCATTGTTGCTGACAAGGATCCTTCTATCAGGTTGGGTTGACTGCCTCCTCTGACTAAGAAGATCATGGACCATGATGGCCCAGTACGACAGAACCATGGGATCTTTATTGGGTACATCCCTCCTCACCCCAAAATTCACTTTAAGTGCAATGTGGTAAATTTCTAATTTTAAATGTTAAATTCTGAATGCCCAAATCACGTTGCTTCTATATGTTGGGTACTATATATCTATTTGACGACTAGCTTTAATCGAAAGTTCTCACTCGTTATCAGGAGGAGCAATTAACTATAGGGGCTTGCATCTATAGTAAACCTAAACTCAAATCATAAAGTCCTTGTAAAATGAGGGTAAAATATCTGAGTAGTATCTTATTCAAAATCCAATATGCCTTCTGAAAATTTGTCTCGGAACATACTCGGTAAAACTCTCCTCGATGACCCGAAAAAAGGAGAAAGGGGTTGCGGAGAAGTCGGTGTGTGAATTTTTCAGAGCTTGCAGGACCATTTTATATATTATCTTGTTCTCCTTCCCGTACATATAGAGAGACTTCTGCGAGCAAAACTTATTTGTTAGAGCTTTAAAATTTGTATTTTAGTATCGTGCGCTCCAGCAAAGTTCCACAAGTTGATCATATTTGTTTGCTCCGGTTAAAAAATATTCCTCCCAAGTAAAATCTAATAAATCTCATATTCTTCAATGATTGATGAACCCAAAATTGCCTTTCTTGGATCGGGGCATTTTCAATTATTTATTTCGCTTATCTTTCATCTGCCACGCCTATAACTCCTAATTATATTAACGTTACATCCTGCTCAAATTTCTCTCATTACAGTTTCATAATGGAAGCGAGGCAACCTGGAGGACTTCAGCACTCTCAGCAAGCTTGTTAGCATTTCAAGATCGTATCTTTTCTCTTGACAGCTCCTTGGTTATCTCCGGACTTGGTCACGACTACAGTATTAATGAAGACATGATAAAAAATGCTGTTGCTCTTCACTATAATGGAAACATGAAGCCTTGGCTTGATTTAGGCATTCCCACATACAAGAAGTACTGGAAGAAGTTCTTAACGCAAGGAGAGCGGTTTATGGATGAATGCAATGTCCTCCATTAGTGCTTCTTTCGCATCTGAAATGATAATTTTTGAGTCGCATTTGGCTCAAATTTGATGCAGAATGAGTACCTCAATGGGACTGGGGATTCTGCCCCAATAAATTTATGATAGAGCTTGCTTGATTATTTTTTAAGATGAAGGTTCGGCTTTCTTATTGCTTCTTAAATCAGCTTTTTAGTAAAAAAAAATAAAGTTTTTGTACTAAAAAATTGTTTTAAGAAGCAGTAAGAAAGTTGCCCCAAACGAAACAGATCTGGCAGGAGGCTGGAGAAGAAGGGGGTGGTAGAGCTGATCCTGTATTTGTTGCCGGTTAGCTAAGTCATTACATTTGATTGAATCATTTATTTGTGATATACCATTTCATTAGTTCTTGATTGGCACCTCTAAACATGATGGTGCCATCTTATTGAAACCAATGTAGATTGAATTTATGTGGTCTCTATTGTCAATTTCTACACTTTTCGTTAGATTATTTTGTAAAAGAATGCCTTTTTACTGTAAAAGAACAGAGAATTTAATATTGTGGAGATGAGAAGTGCTGCTTCAACGTTAATGGAAAATTAAAGCTCGTTTATGATAATTTTTTGTCATTATTTTTTTTACTGCTTCTAAAAAAAATTTCTATTAAAAAATTATTCTTACTTTGATTTCATTTGATACAATTTTTTATTATTTTTTTGAAGCAATATCTTAGTATAAAATTTTTTAGTCTAAAAAATTTTTGTATTGAAAACTATTGGAAACATTTATGTAAAAAACATCCATGAAAGTTTGGAAAGGCTTGAAGGTGAGCAGTAGAGATTTTCCGCTACCTTTATTTATTGAGAAGAAATATGTTTTATTAGAAATACATTAATTTTACTACAAGTAGCTAATTGAGGATTTATTATTCTGTGCGGAGTCTAGATGGTGTTCGGAGACTAATAAAAATGCATTATGTCACCTCAAAAAATGTACCGAGCCCGTTACCGCGCTCAATATTGTTCGGTACCGAGCTCGGCACCTAAGCTTAAAATTTGAGATGAAGAGTAAGCTTTACACACTCTTCATAGCAATTGGTGTTAGAGGTTCTTATGTATGTTTTGTATATATTATGAGTCATTTGCATCAGATATAATTTCTTTATATCTATACATCACATTGAGAGTTGATGTGTGATTCTTTCTCTTTATATAATGTCTAGAAAAATAATTTGATTAGAATATTCTCTGATATAAATAATTAAGCTCTAACTCTTGTATTCAGAGCATGCATATTTAAACTTTCCTTAAAAAAAATGTTGACAAGCTATGCACCAAAAATAAATTAAATCAAAAATATCAAAAGTATATAAAAATTTCATAACAAAGATTTAAATCTAACTAAAAAATATAAAAAGTTTTTAAAAATTGGGACCAGTTCAACGGTTGGTGAGTTGAACATGCAGTTCAAATTTGTTCTCATAGGTTTGATGCTAGACCGATTTTTCATGAGGACCGATTGTCCATATGATCAGTTCACAGTTGAACTAGTCATTAGAGGAACTGTAGTCGATGGACGACAGTGGCTAGAGGGAGTATAGTAATACGACGATGGCCAAAAGGGATTAGTCGACAAGAAATGGAGGTCGAAAGGAACGTAATTGGACGATGGTTGTATTAACCTTTAAAATTTATAGGATAAGATTTGACATATCACAGTAAAAAAATTATTTCATGAGTTATTATAAGTCCAAATCACAAACCGCACGTCTTCTCCATAACATAAATATTATAGTGATTTAATTATACTTTTTTTTCTAATTTTTTGGCACTAGTACATATCCTTAAGAAATTGGCACTACCATGTCACAGTTAAACACAATAGGATCTGCCCCATCATAGAGTGTTCATATTGATCCCCTTAATCATAGAGGTTTGGGGCAAATTCGGAGTGCTCCATCAGACAGCTCATATTAATCCCTTTAATCATAGAGCGTTGGTTCAGTATTTAATTGCCTCAATGATTTCAGAATTGAGTGATCTTGGGCTTGCTGGATTCGTCTTGTCAAGCCGCTCGATTCGATTATAAGCATACCATATTTGAAGATCATTTTATTATCCAAATAGTGCTTTGAAGTTTCCAAATATACTTCGATCCCTTTACTTGGGCCCATTTGAGCTTAGATTGGCCCGATTTTGGCGTCCTTGGGTTCATCTCCTTGAGACATTCAATTTGACTATAAGTTTGCCGAAATTAGAGTCTAGATTGTCCAAAATTTAATTTTTGAAGTTTTAAATTCATATATGCTTCGAGATTTGTGCTTGACCAAGACGATTTTTTGTGACATATCAAGATGAAACAGGGCAAGAAAGGTGCATAAGCAACTAATATCACTAATGGGAGGAAGAATGCCCTGGGTTGGAATAAACATTGAGAGATTTTTAGGGGAATTTTGGTGGAATTTTACTTGAAATAAGTAAACTATTTATCACAATTTTTGTGTCAAAAATCTGTCAAAAAATCCTTGAACTATTTGATACCATCATTAATTTCATCCAATTTGTTCCATTAATAAATCTTCTTTTTATTATTGTGCAATGCTACATTCTTATGAATAATAAATACGGTAAAATATATTTTGAAAACTAGCCCTTATTTTTCAAAAATTACACTCAGGAGGAGAATTCCAAAAAACTCTTTATGAATATGATACTCTCTCTAAGCCTTTGTCCCTCCATGAACTTCCTCAAGCACAGTCCCTTAATCTCCCTAAAGCTTGGAACCCTTACCACATTGAAAATTTAACAGATATTGATGAACCAAGCATTCCTCCATAGCAAATCACTTGCCAAATCTATTCCCCGATCATCCTTCTCAAATTAGTAATACTAATTCTAATCTTGATATCCTAATTGCTCACAAGAAAGATCTAAGAATGCCAAAATCTTATAAAAATTTGACAGAGATTATCGAGAAACCTTTGCACCACTTGCTAACTTTAACTCTTTCATAGTCTCTACCTCTCTTACTGCAAATCTTTATAACTATCTCTCAATAATAATAATATACTCTAGATTTTATAAAAGAAACTAGGATGATAAGATAGAAATCTACTGGTACTTTTATGGAATATCCTATCAATTCAATATGATCAAATTCTCAAATTCATAAAGAAAAATACATATATTTGGCTGCTCTTTTCATAATAGGAAAATATTGATTGAGGGATTACTCAAATAAAAACCAGAAGAGGACAGAGAGGAAGAACTGTCACCGGTTTCTTGTTGGCGGCGATAGAGGAATGCAGTTTCAATGGCATCCGGGAAGTCTTTGCTGGCCCCATCAATGACAGAAAAATTTGTAACCTTATATTGGAAGCTAAATCCGACAGAAATGCTGCAAATTTTGCCTAAATTAGTTATCTTCATTAGCATTTCGACACACAACCCAAACCTCCATTAAAACGTTCGAGCTCTCCCACCTTTCAAATCAAACGGCAGCTCCTCAGGTCTAAAAATAGCATTCGAAGCTCCACATCTTTTGCTATAAAACACGCCAATCTCTTGCCTCTGCACATCGAAGGAGCGCTCAATTTTCCCAGGCTAGCTCGCAACTTCGATCCTGCAAAGGCTAGCCTCGGGACCTTCCATTCATGTCTCCCTAATCTCTCTTCTCAATAACAACAGAGCAAACTCAAAAACACCAAGCAGCAATGTCGTCGATGGATAAATCTGGCGTAACACTCGCCGTTGTTCTATTCATCGCCTTCATCTCCGCCGGCGCTGAGGACCCGTATCTGTACTTCACATGGACGGTCAGCTACGGCACCATCTTCCCCTTCGGGGTCCCCCAACAGGTCATCATGATTAATAACCAGTTCCCCGGCCCCGTCATCAACTGCACCAGCAACAACAATATCGTCGTCAACGTCTTCAACCAACTGGACGAGCCTTTCCTCCTCTCATGGAACGGCATCCAGCAGCGCAAGAACTCGTGGCAGGACGGAATGCCGGGCACCAACTGCCCAATCCCGCCGGGCCAAAACTTCACCTATCACTGGCAAGCGAAGGACCAGATCGGCAGCTTCTATTACTACCCCAGCATTGGCATGCAGAAGGCCGCCGGTGGGTACGGTCCAATCCGCGTGCACAGTCGCCTTCTCATACCCGTTCCATTTGATCCACCGGCTGATGAGTTCGACGTGCTAATCTCCGACTGGTACGGAATCAGCCACAAGACCCTCACTCGGTTGCTCGACTCCGGCCGCCACCTAACACGCGCTCGCGGCGTGCTTATCAACGGCGCCGCGTCGGCCAAGCTCGGTGATGCTCCCATGTTCTTTCTGGAGGCTGGGAAGGTCTACCGCTTCCGCGTGTGCAACGTCGGGCTGAAGGCTTCGCTCAACTTCAGGTAATTGGTCGAATATTTAAACTCTTAAAAAATTTGCTTTTATACAGTTGCCGTGCCCTAGGGTGTCAATTTCGGGTCTCAAGTCAGGTTCGGATCAAATCTGGAATTGATCTGACACTATTCAAATCAAATCAAACCTGGCTTATTTTTGCAAACAAGCTGATTTTTCAGACATGAACCCGACCCGCAGACACGACAATTCCGACAGCAGCAGGTCGTTAGCAGCGGTAGGTCGGTGGTCGGTGACAGCAAAAGTTGGCTAAAGCGGACTGGCAACCGACTGCAAGACGTAGGAACGGTGGGCAGGCGGGTCAGCGCAAGCAATTCGGGTCATTCCGAGTCCATCTCGGGTTCCCGGCTCAACTCGAACTTGACCCGATTTTTAAAATGAGTCGAAAACCTTAACCAGAACCTGACCCAATTCAGGCTCAGGTCAACTCGAACCCAAAATTTCCCGGACATATTTGGGTCGGATTTTCGGGTGTGTCAAATATTGACACCCCTAGAGCCGCCTAATTCTAAGCATACCCAATTTCATTGGAATGTATCCATTTTAAATAGACTTAAAATTAATACAAATTATTACAATAAATATTTATAAAAAAAAATCTTATGAAATAAAGATCGGTGGCATTTTCTTAAATTAATTGGTTTAGATATATCGTTTAGATATATTTAAAAAAAAACATATATAATATTGTTCCATAGAATTATGTAACGCCATCATTTAATTTAGATAGGAAGATTAATAAAATTCATCCTCAAATAAAAATTGTAGATTCCTCTTAAGCCATCAAAATAAAAAATAATATTATTATGTTTATTTATTTTAGGGTATGCAGCAACTTCCCGCAATCCACATTGACTAACTTTGACCACCCGATTATATATGTTCAGGATTCAGGGGCACACGCTAAAGCTAGTAGAGATCGACGGCAGCCACACTATGCAAAATGTTTACGACTCGTTGGACGTCCACGCCGGCCAATGCTACTCCGTCCTCGTCACAGCCGATCAATCGCCGCGCGACTACTTCCTCGTCGCCTCCACCCGGTTTCAAAAAACCGTGCAGACGGCAACTGCTATCATCCGCTACCGTGGAAGCAGCGTCCCGGCAACCCCCGACCTCCCTCCGGCACCGACCACCTGGGCTTGGTCGCTCAACCAATGGCGCTCTTTCCGTTGGAATCTCACCGCCAGCGCGGCCCGACCCAACCCACAGGGCTCATACCACTACGGACAGATCAACATCACCCGCACCATCAAGCTCGCCAGCGCCACATCCGCCGTCGACGGAAAGCTTCGCTTTGTGCTCAACGGCGTGTCTCATACTGATCCCACCGTGCCGCTTAAGCTCGCTGAGTATTTCGGGATCAATGGTACTGTTTTCAAGTACAACTTGATCACCGACGAGCCTCCGGCTAACGGCACGGCGGTGACCATAGCTCCGAACGTGATCACGGCGGAGTTCAGGACGTTTATTGAGATCATACTTGAGAACCCGGAGAAGAGCGTGCAGTCCTATCATCTAAATGGTTATTCCTTCTTCCCTACCGGAATGGGGCCTGGCTGCTGGACCCCGGAGAGCAGGAAAACGTACAACTTACTTGATGCTGTGAGCAGGCACACCATCCAGGTGTATCCTCGTTCATGGACGGCGATCATGTTGACCTTCGACAATGCCGGAATGTGGAACCTGAGGTCGGAGATTTGGGACCGCCGGTATCTTGGACAGCAGCTTTACATCAGCGTTCTGTCGCCGGAGCGGTCTCTCAGGGATGAATACAACTTACCTGAGAATGCTCTCCGTTGTGGCTCTATTACAGATCTTCCACTGCCACCGCCTTACTCCTAAGCTTCTGAAAGTGTTCAACTTAGTATTTAGAAAGCTTTACCTTAAATATATGGCGAGTCTATAAAGTGTGAACTATTTTCGATGTGCTATAGTCAATTTTCTTAAACTTTATTTATTAAAAATGAAAATCAGCTGCAAGCCTTTGCAGCAGGATATATTTATTATTCATTGCTTGGACAGATTTTTTTGATCAATATACTAAAAATAAAATTTGTTGTCGGTCACAGAATTAATATAGAGAATTTTTTTTATTTGATTTTGTCTGCATTGAATTATCATGTGAAGTTATGTAAATTTTGTATTTATTTATTTATTTTTATTTTTTTAAGTAAAACTATGAAAAAATAAAAAATGATTCAATATATATGAATTCCATTGAATCCATAATTATTCGAGAATTACAACCAATTGTATTGAGACTACCCGGTGAACAAAATAGTAGATAAATAGAGAGATAAGGAAGAATTCTAGAATAAGAAGCTCTAAGATTTTTAAAAAATAATTTTGAGTATAAAAAAATTGCATCTTACAGACAAATTGCATGAATTGAGCTCTTCCCTTGAACCCCTATTTAGATTATGTTTGTGCATAAGGATGCTAATGTTATGTGAAAAAAATAACTAGTAATATTAAGAATATGACAAAGGATGTGCTTGGAGTGTCAAAAGAAAACACTGATAATAGTAAAATTAGTTGGTGGTGGAATTCAAATGTGTAACAAAAGATAAAAAATAAGAAGATTTTTTTAAAAAATTAGTTTAGATATAAAAACTCTGATAATTGAGAAAGCTATAAAGATATATGTAAGGAATCTAAGAAAGCAATATGCGATACAAAGATCTTTGCTTTAAATGATTTATATAATAGATTAATTACTAAGGAGGGAGAAAGATATATGTATAAGTTAGTCAAATAAAGTGATATGAGTTGTAAGAATTTACTTCAAGTGAAGTGTATTAAGAATGAATTGTGGGCCTCCGAATATACATCGCTAACGCTGCAGGATTGAGGAGGGGTATATGACCGCACCTACCCCGAGGGATAGAGACGATCGCGGGCCTCCGCGCTCCTCACAAATGGGCCAATGGAAGGACATATTAGACCCTACATACGATTAACCATGGAGGATAGTGGCTCTCACCTACGCACCTCGATGGGTAATAATATGCATGGTCTGATTGCAATCATGGGTTTCCCCCACCCGATACATCAGCTCCGATGGGGTTTAGTAGATATGGAATTTAGTTTCCCACGGGCGCAAGCCCCCGTGGTTAATTACATCTCAGGTCGAAGCCTGAGAAAATTCTCGATTAAGGATCATACATTATCTTTTCCAAAATGAGATTGACACATAGGGCTAAGAATAGGAAATCTTACTCAAAAGGAAAGAAAGGGTTCAAAGGGCTTCTTAGTCAACATGCGTGGTTCACACCAGCATTCGGAGGAACTAAGGTACTAAAGAGGAAATTAGAGAAAAGAAAATCTAGCAATCAACACATACATGAGAGAATGATGGAGGGGGCGTCATTCATGTGATGCAAATAAGTGGGATTTATAGTCTCTTAAGAATAGAAAACTTACCAAGTATTTAAGGCATACTACGAGACTAAGTGTATTAGCCTTAAATCCTAAATCTAAATTAGATTTGGTGTTCTACGAATAACACTAAAACTCGTGTCCTAACTAATGCAGTAAAAAACCTGGACTTACCCCGGTCTGGATTGAAGAGCCAGCTAACCACCTAATTGATTAAAAACCATGTGATCCAATCATTTATGAAAGATGGATGGATAGTATAATTTTTTGGAAGTTAAGGCCGGCATGGTTTCCTAATTGGCCTTATACTTATGTTGGGTAAATTCCCCTAACTAATGTAATTAAAATTTAATTTCAATTAGTTGTTAATGCAATACATGCTGGTTGAAGTTTCCAAATAAGATATATATGCATAAGATTTAAAAAAAAAATAGGCTTATAGAAAATAATTTTTAGAAAAGATTGGGCCTCCCCAGATTCGGAACTTCATCCGTATAGGTCAGATTACCCGGACTCTACCAACATGCCGGGAGGTGTCTTATTAGAAGGAGAAAGAATGATGCAGCATTATACATGCAACCTCGAACGATTCTAACAGTTCTCTAGATTCATTAAGTTTTTATGGTATTTAAATCTTAAAATTTTAAATATTAGTTATGAGTAGAAAAATTTTATAGTCCTTAGAGAGCCTAACGAAATCCAGGCTAAAGCAAAATCGGTATGTAGCTCGCCCATAAACTAATTAAAACATGCAACCCTAGAGGCACACATCATAAATAAAACTCATCAAAATAAATAAACCAATTAATAAATGTTCATAGACCAATTGCCCTTAATTATAAAGTAGGGTCTGCATAAAAGTAATGTGGTCGGGCACCACTGCCAAGAGGGGCGGGTTCACGATGGGGAGGCTTTACGTGTTTGTGATCAATTTGTTTCTATTTTTTTTTTATTCCGGCGAAAGAAGAGAGCCGCCAGACAATTTTTCGGCGGCCAATTTTCGCCAAAAAAAAATTTCAGCATTTTTTATTCGCCGGAATTATTTTTCCGACGCGCATATAACCGGCGGAAACGTTTTTGCCGGAAATCTGTCGGAAAACCATTAAATCCGTCGGAAAATGATGATTTTCTGCTGGAAAAATCCGCCGATAATACGTGATTTTCCTGTAGTGGAATCCTTTCCTATTTGATGTCGAGCCTCGAAATGCCCTCGATCGACAGGGAAACTCCTCGGAAGGAAGCTAACCTCGGTTGGCCAGAGATCTCACCGTCGGCGAGGTTTAAACAGCGACTTTGGCTTGAGGAAAGTAGGGGAAGATGAAGAGAGCTCACACCAGAGAGATCTCGGGTTAGAAGAGCTTAGGGTGAGAGAAAATTACACCAAAGTCCCTCTCCAAAACCTAACTTTCTCTATTTAAATGCATGGATTCTAAAAGGGATGGCAAGATTAAATCCATAGGTGATTGGGAGGGAAATCCAATAGATTTGGTCGTGGTTTGTAATTCAAATCTCCTTTGGCATCAATTAGGGCATTAAAGAACCTTTAAGGGGTTTAAATAGGTCATTTTGACCCATTTAAAACTTGGGTTGACCAGTCAATGGTTGACCTAGTCAACCCAGTCAAATGGGATGTGGGTTTGAACCTTGGATGAGGTTGGATTTTATTTAGAGTTGGAATAACCCATTAAGGCTAATTGGGTTAACCTGGGTTGACCTGGTCAACTAGGTTGACCCAGGGCATGGGTCTGGGCCCAATGGGATGGGTCAGACCCACTGAGTCCAATGGAGGGAAAAATTTGAGCCAGGAAAGTATGAAATTGATTTAAAATCAATAGAAAGCTATTGGGTCAATTTGGGTCAACCTAGGTTGACCAGGTCAACCTAGGTTGATCCAAGGCCTGGACCTGGGCTCGGCAGACTGAATATGATCCACTGAATTGGGTAGTGGGGATCTCGGGTCTTGTCTTAGTCAATTTAACCAAGTCAACCCCTTGGTCCAAGGGTTTGCCAAAATCAAGATCAACATGAATATCAAAAAGTATTTTTTTTTAGAAAATAATATTCAACATAGGTGAATGAGATTTTTTGCTAAACATTTTAAAGAAGAATATGAAAATATGATTGAATTTAGTGACCTTAGCACCCTAAATGATAATGAAGAATTTTATTTTTATCGACGTATTAGTAAAATTGAAGTTAGAGATGCTTTAAATAAAATGAAGTGTGGGAATATTGTTGGACTAGATGATATTCCAATAGAGGTGTAGAAATGCTTAGGAGATGAATGAATTTCTTGGTTTGCTAAACTTTTTAATACTATTTTGAAGACTAAAAAGATGTCATACCTATCACTTTAATTCACTATGGTTTGTCATTAATTAACCTCAAAACAATCATTAATCAAATTCAACCCTTCATTAAGGGTTAAACTTCAATAAATCCAACTAAATCAAATAAAAATCACAAAAACATAAAATCAACTTCAATCCATTCCAATCAATATATACAATCACTGAAAATTAAAATCCCAATTCAAAATTTATAAAATTTATTTAATATTTTAACTACTTAATTAAATAAATTCATGAAAAATAAAAACAAAATTCTAAAATATAAAACATACTCAAATAAAATAAAAATAAGAACAGATAATTATAATTTCTATTTAAATAAAATTTTTAATTAAATATAATTTCAATTCATTAAATAATTAATTTCTCAATTGAATCAATTAAACATAGTAAATAAAATTCAAAATACATAAAAATTTAAATAAAATTAAATAAAAGTTAGAGATTAATTATTTAAATTTGAATAAAAATTTGAATAAATTTTAATTACAACCTAATCATAGTTCTCCTATTGTTAGGGTTGTTATGCTGCCAAAATTTCTTCAAAATTTTGGTGGTTAACAAAATTAGTTAGGTTAATTAAATAAGATAAAAGTTAGTGTCCTTAATGAGTCTCCTCGATAGCATCACTTCCACGTAAAGTGAATATTCATCTTGAGTCACTAGGAGTTTGATTTACTCTTTTGAAATCTTAGGATAGAGCTCCCTTTATCATGCATTTCATTTAGATGATTGCATGTGAATTAGGTTGCTAAATGACTGCTCATTCCAAGCAGGCATTAGTCCAGAGGTTTTTTCATAACTCCTGTCCTAATAAATAATAAATACTTATCTATTTTAAATATAAATGTATTTTTTAACCAAATTTGATGAAATTTTGGAAGAGATGATTGGTATTTTTTAAACAACTAAGGCATCTTGCTTATATGTATGATTACATTATAAGTTTAGATCTTAATCTTCACTTTAAATAAAAGTTTTCTCTTCTGATATATAGTTGACTATAAAGGCTTGCCTCTATATGAATCCAAGCTCCCAGCTTAAAATAAACTATCTCTTAAGTTTGCTAGGAGAGAGGAAAAATCTTTAGTCATAGATCAAGCTAATTCTGGG